GCTGACATATGTCTGGAGCCGAATGCAAATGTGTCTGTTGCAGGGACATGGCCGCGGCAATGGCCCACTCTGTGGCCACCGCTCGTCGCGTGTACGTCTTTGACGTCACGCGTAAAACGTCCCGTCTCGCCGGCATGGTTCGAGCGGCAGCGGCTGCGTGCCGCCGGCCAGTCAAGTAGCACCGGCTCCAGCCCCCAGTCGACGCGTGTCCCGGCGGCGACGACGTCGGCAGAGCACCAGTCAGCAGCAGCAGCAGCAGCAGCAGCAGCGACGAGGACGACCTGCCGGCCGACGGCGGCTCCATTGTGCCGCCCTCCGAGGCGGCCCTGCCGGTGGGGTGGCAGGAAGACGTGGTCGGCCTTATGCCTGCCCGTCTCGCTGCTCAAAGTCAAACTTCGAAGGCATTTGTTTAAGGCCGTAATTTAACCACGTTCGTGTACGGTGCCTGTTTTGTGACGTGTACACGTAAATTGCATGCAAGTACGACTGATGTGTCGTTATATCCTGTGTTCAAGTAAAGTACTCATTGGTTGTACGCTGCTGGCGGCTGTGTTTGGTACCTGCCTGTTTCAAGAGCACGCTTATTTGCTCACAGACGCACGGGAAGAACGTGTGCTTAAAGAGGGAGAAAAAGAGAAAGAAGAACGTTTGAAGTGACGACCCGCTGCCGCCGTCGCCCAGCCCGCCTCTGGCTGCAAACCCGCCGCACGGACTCCTGGAGTGCGGTAGGTGTATGATGATTCTATCTTGTTATGTGACGGCCGTTCTGTTGACATTACATGAGCGCTGTTCTGTATGCGTTTCTAATATCGCGTGTTTATTAAGGAATGCGAGGTGATTCTGACATAAAAGGCATTCAATTGTTTTTCGCCGCAACGAGTCGCTGTTTAAGATATAGCTGCTCGGGTACGGATATGGCTGCATCGCCAGAGCGAGATGAGGCTGGTGGCCGGCTGTCGTGTACTTGCAGTGCGTAATGCAGCCTCTGTTTGCAGATCGGTCTCCTGCTGCTGGCGCTGCTGCAAGGCCGCAGGACTGAGCACATCATAATGCCTCACATTATGACAGCCCTCGCCGGTCCCCGGCTGGCCATGGGGGAGGCCAACGGCTGACTCCAGAGGCAGCAACGAGCTCACGCCATGACCGCCGGGACGCTTAAATCTGTCATCCGGTGCCTGTCTCAGTTGATTGCCTATGTGGCCATCGGCAGCAACAACCTGGGGGTCCAGGCGTGGCTGCCGCGCATGCCGGTAAGTGCTCTCCACAGCTGGCGTGCCGATTGTGCCGGCTGTCGCACCACCGTCACCGTTCGCTTATGACATGCAATGCCCAGGCCATGGTGGAGCGGCTGGCAGCCTGGCAGCGGCCACTGCAGCGTGCTGACTCTGAGCGACGACGCCACTGTGCTGACTCGGCCGGCAGGGGCTTGGAGAAGAGGAAAAAGAAGCAACACAAGGAGAAGAAGCAGAAGCACCAGAAGAAGGAGAAGGCGGCGTTGACCCTTTACGAGCTGCAGTGGCCGCCCAGCTCGTCTCCGTCTTCAGCCCGCCTCCCAGGCCTATGGACTGCGGTAAGTGTATCACAATTATGTCTCTTGTTTCGTGCCGCATATTCTCCGACGACAGCTTTTGCACACCTCTTTCTGTGTGCGTTGGCCCCAGTTGTTGTCAACATCAAAGGCATTCATTTAAGCCCGTCATTCATCCTCGCTCGTTTGCGGCGCTTGGTTTTTGGTGTTTATGGTTGGAGTGCATGCCTGTCTCACTGATGTCGCATTATGTCATGTTTTCCTGTTGAGTAGTTATCGGTTGTTCTTGGTTTGGGTGTTTTGTTCTGTATTGACGTGTTTGTTAAGCCTGCCCATGTTCCCACGGAGCCGGCTGCCGAAGAACGGCCACCGCTGCCCAGCCTGTGTCTCCCCGACGACTACTCGCCTATGCAGTACGGTAAGCATGCCTGATGATGCTATTTCTTTCCAAATTTTAACCGTCTCTGGTAGCAGTACATTGACTTACTATTGTGTGTATGCTCATTGTGGCATGCGTATTGTACGCTGTGGGTGCATTACACAAGTGGAATGTTGTTAAAAAAGGAAGGGGTCGTTTGATGCGCTGCTGTTTTCATGTGCTACAGTCATTGCCCTTAAAGTAGTTGCTCCATGTTTTCGATGTTTATTCCGTTTTCCGGTATGCGACTAGTCAGCCTTTCATTCTGCCAAGACCTCCGATGGCCGACACTTATGGCACATGTGATATGTTTTCATCTAAAGCGGTTACTGCTCATTCATTGCTGGCTGGTATGCTTTTTTTAGTTGCTTCATAAGCGTGCCTATTTGCTCACAGAGCCGGCTGCTGACGAACAGCCGCCGCCGTCCACCTGGTTGCCCCCGTGTTTGACGACTCTTCCATTGAGCACGGCAAGCGTGTTCAATGGCGTCATTACTTTAGGTTTGTCCTAGCCGGCTACTTGAGATGCAGCTGTTGTTGTCATTGTATATGCATGTTCTTTGATTACGTATCTCGTATTTTGTGTATGCGATAGACTGTCAGCAAAGGTGTCATCAATACGAAACTTTCGATTCATTACACTGTGGGTGTCGTCTGTTCTGATCAGTTGCCTGCAGTGTGACGCTTTCTTTGTCCACTATGTTTATTTCCCGTTTTTGTATGTGACTACTCAGCCCTTAATTCTGCCAACAGAGGGAGCTCTGGCCGACAGCCAGGCGCCACCGGCGGCGGACGCCGACCCCGACTGGGCGCCGTCCTCGTCCCCCTCGTCGGCATCGATATCACCAGCACCAGAGGAGAAGGAGGCCTCGGAAGAGGGTGACCGGCCCGGTATGTCACCAGTTGTCCTCTCTGTGTGTGGCGGCAGACTGGATGTAAATGTGCTTCTGCCGCAGCTGGCATACCCGTGTGCTTCATTCTGTGTTGCAGCGTGCAAGCCGCGGCAGGGCCGGCCTCGCAGCGGCGCTGGGAAGCGCCACAGGCACCCGTGCCGCCTGCCGCCGTGCCGCGGCACCACGTAAGCCAACCTTGCGCGGCACATCAGGATGGTGCACCCGCGGGTAGGCAACGAAGTGCATGCTGTGTGCGGTTGTGTTTTGTCTTCACTCGCTTGCGCGTGTTTCTGCCGTCGATGAGTCACGCATGCCCACAGCTGTGCTGTCGGTCTTATCTTTTGAGCTGTCGACTTGTGTTTCAGCTTGCCGCACGTGCGCCGGAGGAGGCAAAGCGTCTCCGAGCCGCCGAGGCTGACTGCCCTCCAGCAGCGGTCTGTCTGTGTCTGTTTGTGTTTCAGCTTGCCGCACGCGTGGTAGAGCGGGCTAAACGCCCGCGAGCCGCCGAAGCTCATTGCCCTCCGCCAGCGCCCAAGTGCACCCAGGCCCGCTGGCGCTGCCCGCTCGGTGCCACCGACGGGCGGCACCCGTGCCCGGCGGTTGTGGTGAATATATCACGACACGTTCGGGGGCACTTCCCTGCAGGCAGTCATGAGGTAGGTACCAGCGCCATTGTCTCTGGCATTGTTTGGACGTGTGTTTCACTGCCTCAACATCGCGTGTTGTCGGCTTTTCGGCGTGTTCGGTGTGGCATCGTGAACCGTCTGTCCACAGTTCCAACAAGCGTACGGCAGTGCGGAGCGAGCTGACCCCACGTCATCGAGCAAGCCCGAAAAGCCGCTGGTTGGACTGGAGGCCACCTCGGACCAGTTCGTTACATTCCTGCGTGAAGTCTGGGTTGGTTTTTGCAACCCGACGAAGGTGCAGCGGCACATGCGGGCGGCAAGTGCCACCGATGCCGGTCTGCTTCCCATCTGCTTGCTGTCATCTGTTGTCACTCGTGTTTCGCGCGTCATCTTGTGTTATTTTCGTTCGCGTTGTCCGTCGCATGCAGCGGGGTTCAGAATTGTGCTGGCGGCGAGCTGTCATATACTTGCATTGCCTAATGCAGGTTTATTGGCAGCTCCGTCTCCTGCTGCCACAGCTGCTGCCAGGCGGCCGTGCGGAGCAGCTAATGATGTCTCACATCATGGCGGCCCTCGTCAGCCCCCAGCTGACCTTGGAGGGGCCCGTAGAGAGGAGCTGATACGGTCAAACTAGTTTGAATACCAACGGGCGATTTTACGCGCGCTCATAGGCTAAAGGGCGCGAATACAGACTATGCCGGCTGTGCAGGGCACGTTGCGTCAAGTCGACATAAATTAGAACGCGTCTTAAAGCAATCCGACACATTACGATGGACGCCTTAAAACCCGGTCCTTGTCGGCTAACGAGGATAAGTTTAGCAGGATTTCTAGCGTCGCAGCCATGATTGACATGCTTGCAGTGCACATCTAACTGGGAATTCAAATACGCGAAAAATACGTGTACATACAAATGAGTTTAATTTAACAGGCATCACGCATAACACATCATTTACTTCCGCAGGCGCTTCCAAGTACACAGGCGTCTCGCATCACACATCACGTTTACCTGCAAACGACTTCAATTAAACAGACATCGTGGATCAAGCGTCCCGCCAAGCGATACATGAAAGCGAACTTAAGCCAGGATGCATAACACATCAAGACACTAGTCACATTCACCTAATCGTTTATGAGTCCTGAACTTAAGGACTGGTCGCCAACTTCTCATAAAATAGATTCACCGTTTTTCCTCTCTACATGATCTCGTGCTTTGGGAGTAATGTTCATGTATGACGCTTGTCTTGTGATTCATGTGTCAGTACCGTCCGTGTCCCGTCTTAGCCCAGCTGCCGTCATTGTTCGGTGCGCATTGTGCTGGCGTGTTCGGTGTTGGATGACATCGTGTCAGTCTTGCATTTCATCAGCCGTCTTTTAACCGACAGTCCGAGTACGTCACCGCTCTGGCGGAGTGCCTGCCGGTCGGCGAGTTCCTGCCACTGCCGGCCGAGGCCCGCCAAGCGCGTGACGATCTGATGACAGTGCTCATGGTCCTCTGCGCCGGCCGGCCCAACCACGTCACTGGCATCGCCGCCTCTTCGGTGCCCGAGGCCAGGGTGAGCAGGCTGGCTGACTGACTTGACTGACTCAGCCTGATTGAAGGGTGACGTTCAGAGGTCAGGACTTGTTGACGGACGCTAGCTCTTTTTCTGTTGAATGTTTTGATTATTGTAAGTTAAAAATCGGCCTTTAATTTTTTGGGTAATATGGTCTTCCCTGTCGTTTTGCCCCGCGCTTGACCTTGAAGGATGACCTTGAGAGGTAGGAATTTTTGACTGACGCTAGCTCTTTTTGTGATGAAGATTCTGACTCGAACACATACTCACAGACTCGAACTCAGTTAGTGGCCTACACCGGGGAGTTCAGTTGAAATCGCCGGCCGCGACAGGGTCCGGTACCTGCCAGTCATACAAGCGATTTCAGACAGCAAAACGAAGGTGATGCAGGTGAGTTTGTGGACTAGGGCACATCTCAATTGGTGCTTGGGAGTTGCCATGTCACCTACGCCACCTTTTTTCCTCTCTCCTCTCCCTATTCCTACCTTTCCGCCTACTTCCCTTAATCCTTGAGTTGCTCCCCCCCCCCCGCCGAACCCTCCGAATGCGCACCAGCCTGCACCGAGTGCACCGAACACGAGAGGTGAGCATTTCCAGCGGACGGAAGGTGCGGTGCCGCATTATCGGACCATGGGTGTGACACTGCCTCCTTAGGTAGACGTGGTCACAGGTGTAACACTGCCTCCTTAGGCAGTCAAGGTCGGAGGTGTAACACTGCCTCCTTAGACAGACAAGGTCGGAGGTGTAACACTGCCCCCTCAGGCAGTCAAGATCAGTAGTGTAACACTGCCTTCTCAGGCAGCTAAAGCGCAAAGAAGTTCTTAGAAGACTCGGATGTAAAAGAAGAAGGGGAAGGGGCTACCAAACAAGTTAATAGAAAACCAAGGAAGAGAACAGAACGAGAAGATGATACTAGTCTGTCCATGGCCCAGCCCTCTCAGGGAGAAGGTGTCACATCGCCTTCCCGTGCAGAATGAGTGCTGCTGTTTCTGCAGGAAGAGGGTGTGTCGGTCCCTTTGCTGACATAGGGTGATGCACAGCGTTCTTTACATCTATGCTGCAAAGCTTGATATCGCTTTTATTCTGCCCACAGGCATGTGCAAAGTCGAACAGGGCCAAAGCACTCTGCGAGGTGCCAAAGGTGGCGGGCGTGCCGCGCTGAAAGAAAGAGGGTGCTGAAAGGCTTGCACCAAAAAAGGCGCGAAGACCAGCGGCGGCGCCGCCAGCTGTCACCGTCGCTGGTCCTTCATCTGTCCAGCAGCGGCGATGACGGTAAGCAACGGTATGTGTTGTATATCGAATGCGCAGCTCTTTGTACTTGAGACATCCAGAAACTGTCTATACCAGCTCTGCATCGTCGTGCTCCATGGGCTACGCAGCTCAGTTGCGTGTCCTTCTGTCGTGAGCTGTGTTCATATCACGCAAAGATGCAATGCAATATGTGCCGTTATGTTTCAGAGCCGATGCCTGCCTTGGTGGAGATGGCATCGCCGCCGCCAGCTCCAACGTCGCCGCCAGCTCCAGCGCCGCCACCATCACCGCCTTTACCGCCACCATCGCCGCCCACAGCGTCTACTGGTCCGTGCTGGGTGCGGGTGGCGCGTTGGGTGCCGCCACCGTACTCGGCGGTTTGAAGTTTTTGAAAGCAACGAAACAGGAGAAAATAAGAAGGAAAAACCTAGGCTGTTTCAGCACAATGTGACTGACATGGACTGATTTGAAGCGAGCGTGCACGAGAGGCTGCATGACATTGGACTGACCAGGTGTGGAAACAGCACGGCGATGTAGAGCTGCTATAGACAGTTTCTGGATTTCACAAGTACAGAGAGCTGTCTATCTGGTCTGGTCTGGTCTGGCCCGTCTGGTCTGGTCTGGTCTGGTCTGGTCTGGTCTGGCCCTCGTGCCTCTTCTGCCGCAAGTGTCGAAGAAGGCTCTTCTTTTCAGCGCGTCGTGCCCGCCGCCTCTGGCGCCGCGCCTCACTCAGCGCCTTTGCCTTTTTCGACATTGTCCAAGCCTCTGGGAAGAATAAAGGTAATGTTAGGCTTGGCAGCTCAGACGTAATGAACGCTGCGCAACACCCTATGCCAGCAAAGGGACCGACACACCTCTTCCTGCAGGAACAGCTGTTCACATTCTGCCTGGGAAGGCGATGTTACACCTGCCTGAGAAGGCTGGGCCATGGACAGATTGGTAGCATCTTCTCGTTCCCTTACTTACTAAGATACCGTTTGTGTGCGAGTCACTTGGGCGGGAGATGTACACCGCACCCTTCGCCGACGCCATGGCACACATGCTATTATATATTCAAACCATAGCCATAAGTTGAATCGTTTAATTCCGGTGATACGATTGAACGTTTTCCATTTATCTGCTTTTACATTTCGTGGCACTAGTCGTGTGTCGTTTTGCGTGGGATATATGACGCGATTTCTCGTGTTTCGGTGTAGTTTTGCGTCCGATTTCTTAAACAGCGAGTCGCCTGGTCTGTGTTTGCTACAGCATCTAGTGTGCGAGACAGATGGTGATGATGCGTAACAGAGACTGTTCCGCCTGAGATGGAAGGGGCGCTGTTAGTGCCTTTGCTATCCTGCTTCGGTTCTTTTCATGGAGAGTTGTTCCGTGTGCTCTTCGGCTTTGCTGGTCGTTTGGTGGTCGTCCTCGCTTGCATATGTCCTCCATACGTTTTCTCTGTCTCATTATCTGAACACGATGTTGCGTAGTTTTCGTTTCGCGCTTGTTCATCATGGGCGTGAAGCATGAACACGGCAAGGCGGATTTGTCCCGCCCTGTCACGGGGTCGGTGCCGGCCGCTGATGTTGACTTGCTGTCACACGTGATGGGCGATCCTCTGACCATGTCCCCTCTGTTTTCTCCTGCGGATGCTTCTGCGCCTGTTCGTCACCAGCCGACGGAACGTCTGCCGGACGGCCGGCTGTCTCTCCCGCCAGCCATCGCGCGTCCCCTTATCAACTGCCTTGAATTCATTCTCCGCGCTCGTGGTTAGTGCTCGTTGGTGTAATATGTGGACGAGAGAGCCGCGTTCACAAAAACTGACGTCCGGCGGTCGGAGCAGACTCAAACCATCATAGTCTATGTGAATGTCAGTCACCCTGCAGGTCTGATGAAAGGCTCGTTGGTGACCACGACAAACCTGTACACGGCTATCGCAAGCATCACTGAGTGTTCGGTGGTATGTTAAGGTCACTTCGCATACATGGGGTTCTTCACCTGGCTATATACTAATTTTCCGCGTTCTTCCGAGTCGTTGCCGATTTTGCGCTTCTGAAGACTACGAAGTTCTATGGTGAGGCCGTCACTGTTGCCTGTGCAGTACCACAGCAACGCGAGCAACGTCATTATGTCAACTTCCACCATGTGAGTGGGGACTGGGTCTGACTGCCTGGCAACGTCAACGTGTTGGTCTCGGCAGCAGGAACTGGAATTCAGAAGGCATGATCTGCCAGGACAACGATTTATATTTTAATTATTGGCATGAGCGAGTTGTCCCCGCTCAAGCGATGCACGGTGGGATAGCTAATACGCTCACTGCGCACGGGACGTTTCGTGTAACAATATGCAACGGCTGTGTCGTCATGTAAAAGAACGTACGCGTTCAGGGTAAATCACTAGTTCCGTTCAGAGTAAATCATTAGGAGACCGGCCACCGGGTGGCCGGTCTCTCCCTCACAGGAGAGACCGGCCTCTCCAGGCCCTCTCCAGACAGAGACCGGCTGTTCCAGTCCCAGTGATGGCATCACGTTGCGGCGGACAGGCGTTGCCGTCCACAAACGTTGACTCCCATTGGCCGGTGGCTTGACGTGCCGGAGGCGAACACGCAGTGGGCTGGAGCGGGCGGGGCCCCCTGGCTGGGAACTCCGTTCCCTGGTGGGGACCGTCTGCCGATCTGATGTCTGATGATCTGATGACGCTCCTGGTGGTGCTGTGCGACGGCCGGCCCAGCCACGTCACTGGCATCGCCGCCTCTTCGGTGCCCGAGGCTAGGGTGAGCAGGCTGGCTGGCCGACGTCTGACTGACTGTTGCGCGCCATTCGTTTTGCGTCGGTCGTTCTGCTGTCTGTCGTGTCTGTTGTCGGAGTGATGGTTTGAACGAGACACCATGTGCGTCTGTAGACTGTCGACCTCGATGGCCAAGAGCGTGGCCTCATGAAGAATTACAGATTCAGGACATCGGCCACCTCGACGCTGTAGGCGGCTGTCAGCAGCGAGCTTTGGCTGCGGCTGCTCCACTTCACATCAGTGGAGCGGCCGGCGCTGCTCACACCAGACACCACCAGCAGCGACCGGGTATGCAACAAAGACCGTTCGGCAGGCGCCGGACCAATTAGTGTTGTCAGGGTCAACCACGTGCATTTTGCACCCTCACCAGCGTGGTTCAACTATAAGTGTCTCTTTCCACAGGTCTTGATGGCAACGGGCAGCAGCCCGCTGGCAAGTAGCAGCGCTGCCAAGGTCTTCAAGGTGGCGTGGCGGTGTGCCGGTCAGGACGTGGACGTCCCCGATCTGACAGCCAGCGGCGTGTGCTACGGCGTCCTTGTGGGCACGGCGGCGGCGGAGCCGGAGGCGCAGGGGTAAGTGCACACCCGCCAGCCTCTCCGGTCTTCACGTTTCACTCGGTATCCGAGGTAGCCAACATCGCCAATGCCGGTGTGTTTGTGCAGCCGCGGTGTGTCAATGTCCTGTATTTAATCAGCCGTCTGCTCGCCGACGGTGGCAGCACGTCACCGCCATCACGGTCTCACGGCCGGCCGGCGGGGCGCCGCGCGTCGTAACGGATCAGGAGCGGCGACAGCACCAGGCGTGATATCATGACAGCAGCGGATCAGGAGGGGGTCACGGGTGGTCACAGAGGTCTAGTCGGGCCATCGCAGGGTCGAGCGTGGCCACCGAGGCCTAGTCGGGCCATCGCAGGGTCGAGCGTGGCCACAGAGGCCCAGCGGTGTTTAGGCGCAGCGGTGTTTCGTGTGGGAGAGTCTCCTGACGTGTCCCACACGGTGGCTTGCAGTTTGTCTGGTGGTCTAAACACAGCTGGTCTCCCATCTCTGGTGGCCGGTCAGGCCGCTGACACAGCCGCATGAGAGTGGTGATTGCAGCGTAGCAAGAGAGGCAACGACGAAGAACGTTTATGTTACGAACGTTATATCTTATATGTATGTTATATGTTACGGGTTTTATATGACGTTCTCTGCTTTCGTTATGGCGAAATCTGGATGCGTCTATTTCGATACGAGATGATCCCTATTCATGCATACTGTGTGGGCATCATGTTTATTCACAGCGGGCAGTGGCATTGTAACTGACAGTTATAACGCACTCTAAAAAAATGTCCCTTTCACCGCTCATGTCTCCCCGCTGAACAGTGGCACTGGATGCGCGTCAACGAGAGCTGCGGTGTGGCGAGGCACCCCGAGGCACAGATCCGGTTATTGAGTGTCACGACGAGCGATTCCCGAGAAGTCGGTACTTTCATGGCAGCAGACACAGGTTCTCGACGAGTTCCCTGTCCGTTACTTTCATGATAGCAGTCATAGGTTCTCGACGAATTCCCTGTCCGTTACTTCCGTGACATCAGACACAGTTCCTCGACGAGTTCTCTGTCGGTTACTTTTACGACAGCAGACACAGATTCTCGACGAGATCCGTCATCACTCGGCAAATAAGTGAAAAATTCCTCCTCATAGGGTGTTGCTTCACATCTAAGGTCGGCAGTTCTAGGACGCTGCTCGTCACTCTTCCGCTGCAGCTGACTGACGTTGGTGTTTAGACGCACGGCGGGCTTATGCTGGTCTTGTTGGCATCTGGAGTGAGTGACTGCAGAGGAACACCAGTTTGCTTCGTTGTTCACCTGGGGTTCGCTTGTCTGCCGCATGACGTTGAGCGGAGGCGCGCTTGGAAAGTCTCAGTGTCGCCTTCTCGTCAGCGCCGGTGCCCCTTACTGAAACTGGCTGTTCACCGACCACGAGTAATGACTGGGGGTTTCCCAGCCTAGAGAATTGGCCCCGGCCACTTCACGCTCTAGGACTTCTCGCTCTTGCTCCTATCGGCGTGCTATTCGATATCGCTCATCTTTGTTTCAACTTCGTTCCGTACTTTTTCATTACAGGGACTGGCCTCTTGCCGTAGCGGGAGATTATTGTATATAAGACATAAAACAATTTGTCAAATGAGGTTTTTACAAGGTGGAACTATTTCCGCGTAAAAGGCTGGGGGAAACTGAGAACGGGCGGTTTGAAAAAGCAATGACCTTTTCAGCCTAATATGCCAGCAGCGCTCATGTCAGCGTGTGGCCTCAACATGGCCCGCTGTGCTGGGGCCAACCATAGCGGCAATGGCCGCTCAGATAGGGACTGCTCGGACAGCTCAGCCTCCTCGGGCCGTTGGGTGCTTGAGGACGTCGGTCGTTATTACTGCCGGCGCACTTTGTTCGCATTTCTCCTGCGATACACCAGTGAGCTCGCAAGGTCGCTATTCTATCTATG